TGATTTGGTGATATAGCCTACTTGATAATGTCAGATCGCACATCTTTACAACAACACTTACCATATTATGGCAGACGATGCTGTATCGCACACCGCAGACTCGACTTGAGTGGAAAATTAATCATCCGCAGTTGTGCGCGCACTTGTTTGCACATGAGCATGAGTCTAACTTGCAAACGCCAGACCACTGATTCGTCAAACCTGCTTTCCTGTAGTCCGTGTTCTTCTGACTTCTGACTATTTTGTAGTAAGTAAGGAATATGGGGAAATGTATCGGAGTAAAAGTATACATTTTAATTAGGAACTGTAGTGGAGTAAAAGTTGGCTGAAATATTAAAACTCAAGTAAAGTACAGATACTCCCAAAATATACTTAAGTACTGTAACAAAGTATTATTACTTCGTTACATTACACCACTGCTGTTAATACAGTGATACAATAAGCTTTTAATGAAGCAACTCAGCGTTCCTTTGTTACTAGTTCTAAAGTGACGTTTTGGAAACTGTCAACTTTAGATTTGAATCCGTGTCGGAATGAAGTAGTTCTGCACAAAAGAGGGTTTTTAAAGACACTCCGTTTTTGTTTCTTATGTATTTACATACTCGTGCCGTCAAACTGTTGTAGAAATGGCCTGCGGGATCACAGGTGTGCCGATATACAGCCATATCTCACGGCTATTCCTGTGATATTGCTCATTTATGTTATGTTATGTTATGTTATGTTATGTTATGTTATGTTGTTATATTATATTTTGTTGGAGAGGTGACACATTCAAAAATTTGAAACAACGTTGGAGATATGGAATTTTCTTCATTTAAACCTGGAAAGGGAACGTTTTAGAATTTTGAAACATTTTTTAAAAAATTATGTGAAATTAAGACGAAATATTATTTAAGATTCTCTGCTATCTTTAGATCAAATAATAAAATAAATGATTAAATAAAGCAGTTTGATCATGTCATTTCCTTTGTGCAGATTGTCTTGCTTTGAAGCTAAAGACTTTTTATACAATTTCTTTGCTTGTAATGAAAAATATTTAAATACATTTTTAAATAGTATATTATTAGTATAATATATTTATAGAAATATTTTAAATTATTTATTATAATATGAAATCGAAGCATTTTCAGATCCTAATGCAAAATGACATTTGCAACATTCAGCGCAATGTTAGTTTTTAAGAAATATTGGGCAAAATTGATTTTGATGCTCTTCTTTGCTCTACAGGTACAAGTCTACAGTCACTAAGAAGCGCTCATGGTTCCTCGCCGCTATGTGCTGGATTCTAGCATCTGTTCTGGGCTTCTTACCCATGTTTGGATGGTACAACAATGACGCACTGACACGTTACAACTCCACCTCCATAGACTGTCAGTTCATTGTTGTCATTCCCATTACATACCTGATCCACTTCATCTTTGAGGGCTGTTTTCTTCCTCCGTTGGCAGCCATGATCGCTTTGTATTGCTACATCTTTTTAAAAATTAGAAGTGGAAGAGCAGGTATGTCAGCTGAAACCAGTACATATAAACAAAAGGAGCACAAACTGGCTACCTCTCTGGTTTTAGTCTTGGCTCTTTTTATTGTTTGCTGGCTGCCGTTACACACGATACAATCCATCACATACTATAACCAGAGTATACATGTACCGCCCATTGCTTTGTACTTTGGCATTCTCCTCTCTCATGCCAACTCGATGGTAAACCCTGTAGTGTACGCCTTCAAAATCCCTAAGATAAAGCGGGAGTACGGGAAGATTTGGAGGAGGGTGATTGGTCAACAGCAGCAAGCAGATACAAACAGCAGCAGGACTCCTGCTAGTAATACCACTGATAACCATGATGGACGAGTTCATGTGAAAATCAGTCCACAGGGGGGAGCCAATGACATGACTGACTCCATAGTAC